AAAAAAAAAAAAATTCTACTGGGACCAGCAGTTAGCATAATGGCTATGTCGCTGGACTCCCATGTAGTCGACCATGGTTCGAGTCCTGGACCCGGTGGCTTAAACTCACGCTGGGCGTGTGTGCGTGCGTGTGCCCAAGCTCCCGAGAGGAGAATGGAAGAGAAGGGATTAAGCCGTGGCCATCCCCCAGGGGGGTGATTTCTCGCTTTCTGTCTCTCTCTGTTTCTCTGGCGAGCGCACATGCCCTATAGCAAAAACTTCTCCAAAAAACAAAAAAGGCAAAAAATTCTACTTAAAAATGTCACAAAAACCATAAGCTCATGTGAAGACAGTGCTAGGGTTCCTCTCAGGACTTTGGAAAAGGCCTGGTTAGTGAGGGCTCTGAAACTTAAAAGTCCATTAGCTGAATCAGAGAAAACCCACTTTATCTATCTGCTTTCCACTACTTTCTAACACTCTGTTGAAACTGTCTATCATGACCTCTTTCCTTATCCTTACAGCCTTATACTTGCTTTACATATTTACTGTTATTTTATGAGGATTGAAAAAGACAAATAGACTCCTTTAAGTTTTCATCTTATATTCAATCTTTTGGTATCAAGTCCAATTAATTTGATAATATGTATAATCTGTATCATTAAACTACTGACCTCATCTTTAATTATCCATTTATACTTTATACATATACATACACAATTCACACTTTGTAATAACTAAATAATCACTAATTATCGGTTAGATTTTGTTGTAAAAAGGTATAAAAGAGGGCCAGCCTACAGCCTAGTAGTTAAGGGAGCCAGATCCCACATGGCCAACTGTGGTCGCTCTCTGGTTAGCACAGTCAGTGACCTCTGGCAATTAAAAAGTATAAAAGACACCCACAAACGCCAATTTCATTAAGGACTAAGACATTTACTAATGGTCTTAAAAGAAAAGTGACTATAGCATCCACCCCTCTTCTCTGTATAAGCTTTTCTGTTTGTAATATAATTTAAATATCCATACATGTTATAGGAGATTTTAGATAGTCTCATGAATAAGTAATATTATGAAACAGGGTGGAAAAGGATTATTTTTAAAGAGAAAGACTAGAAGAGAACAAAACAGTCGTAGAAAAATGGTAACATTAGTAGTGAATAGTTTTAAAATGTGTACTGGGACCCCTCTTAAATCAAAAGTAATTGAAATATTAAAATTTAAAAAACAAAGTTATCAATTTTGAGCTTACTGGAAAAACTGTAAGTATTGATAATGCAATGTGCTCCTTTAAACTATAGAACTAGATTTGATAAAAACAGTAAATTAACTTTTCTGGGTTCAATACCTTTGACCTGAATTCCAAGCTTTTTGAGGGCCTCTTCCACAGACTGGCTTTCTCGTTTTCTCATAAAGCCATTATCGATGTGCACAGCAATGACCTGATCTTGGTTCAAAGCACGATTTAGCAAAGCTGTACAAACTGTAGAATCTACACCACCACTGAGTAAAACCTACAGGGGGAAAAAAATGAAAAGAAAAATCAAACAGTACATTAAACAAAAAGAAAATAAATGCTATCGGCTTAAATCATTGCCCAAAAACACTGTTTGCATTAAAAGCATAGATGATAACTCTTAGTAGAAAAGCACCCTAAAACAGAACAACACACGAAGCATGTTTACCCAGTAACATTTAAAGGCTGCGTGGAGGGAGTCATCTCTGGGTTCCAACATCACTGACACAATCTGCAGAGTCCCACATAACAAACTGCTTACCAAAACTTTTGATGTGCCTACTCTCTCTTTGATCTCTCGAATACATTCAAGTTCTCTGTTCTGCACAGTAAAGGTCCCACTGCAACCAGCGATATCATAAAGGAAATTCTTCAGAATCACTTTCCCATTTTCTGTAAGGCCAACTTCAGGATGGAACTGTGCTCCATATAATTTTTTAGATTCATTTGCTATACCTTTACAGAGAAAATAATCAAAATCACAAGTTAAAATGTGTTCATGTTTCAGAAACTCAACCAAAGCCCACAATTAATTCCTTGCAATATCTTCCTCTATAAATGTTAAAACTGATAGGTTTAGGGACCAGCAGATGATGTAATGGTTGTCACCAGATTCCTACATAGTCAACCACGGTTAAAGTCCAGGAACTGGCAACTTAAAACTCACACTGGACACATGTGCATGCGTGCCCAAGATCCCAGGAGAAGAATGGAGAAGGGATTGTGGTGTTGCCATTCCTCCTTGGGAGTGATTTCTTGCTTTTTGTCTCTCCAGCAAGTGCATGTGCCCTATAGCAAAAACCTCTCTTAAAAAAAAAAAAAAAAAAAAAAAAAACTGATAGGTTTAGTGAATTTTTAGCTACAGGGAGAGAAAAATCATAATGCAAATTAAAAACTATTAATACACTACCATAATCTCTCTTTGTAAAATTCGTTCTTAAAATAGCAATTAATGACTTACAGGACAGTGCAGTAAGTCAGGCAGAGATTACACACAGGTTACTTCAACTGTCTTATCTAACACACCGTGTAGCTCAACTCTTTCTCAGTCCCACGTGGTTTCTCGTGCAATGTATAGCTACCTATTTCCTACAGAAAGAGAACCGCATTCACTAGAGTACTTCGAAATATGTGTGGAAAAATGGAATAAAAGTAGTTTCTCTTGTTACCAAAAATCTTCAAGTCCAGTTTTTCATAAAGCACATTTTCCATAACTCTTTGAAGATCCCCCTCCTTCCCCTCATGTAAGACTTGTCAAATTATTTTAAGTGCTTCTTTGTTTTCCTGTTTATCCCCACTTTCTTTCCTGTCTGGATCAAGAAGTACAAAGTACCTTGACTGCTCTGTGACATGGCCAGCTGCATTCCTTCTGCAGGCTTGAGTTCATACCCATGCCTTGAACATTCCCAAGTCCTGGTTGCTGACCAAAACACTGGTGGGGGGGGGGGGACCCTGCCCTGAGCCAAAATCCTTAAACACTCATATAAACTCTATTCCCTAAGTCCCTCATGACAGACATACCTAGGTAGAACACCCTTTTCTCTCACTGTCCACTGCAAGGATATGCTGCAGTCCCCCTGTAAGTAAATTACCTGGATCAACGCTTTGGACTGATAACCCTGACACTTGGTGTTCCTTTGTTTGGACTCGGTCCCATCTCAAGAAAGTTTGTGCACTCCCTTGTAGAAATTCCCCAGCCACAACTTTGGAGAACTCCAGACAGGTACAGTGTATTCTGTTTGAAAAGCTTATGTTGGCATGAACATTTTGTATGGTTCATTTGTTGTTTTTTTGTTTTTCTATTTATTTCTCTTAATAGCATTATTGGGGCCAGCAGACAGCGTAGTGGTTTAAGTGCTGGACTCCCACATGGCTGACCGCAGTTCAAGTGCTGGACCTGGTGGCTTAAAACTCACACCAGGCATGCATGACCAAAATCCTGAGAGGAGAATGGAGCAGAAGGCACTGCAACATGGCCATCCCCCCAGGGAGGTAATTTCTCACTTTCTCTCTCTCTGTGTGTCTCTAGTGAGCAACACACATCCTATAGCAAAAAATTTCTTTAAAAAAAAGATGTTTCATTAAGAAATAATTTATATACAAAACACCAAACATGCTTAATGTGTACAATTTGATGAGTTTGGATATATGCATACAACACAATCAAGATAAGAGATATATCAATCACTTCCAAAAATTTCCTTGTGCCCCTTTTGAGGAGGAATATTTTAAAAAGTATTTCAAAGCAAACTATTAAGTAACATTTAGATAATCCTGCTAATATTAAATTTCCTTCATTAACAGTTCATGGATATGTATATATCAGCTGCTCTTGCTATTGGAAGTGTTTAGATTAATTAAGTTCATTAGCGAATAAATAAAATGGGGGGGGAAAAGGCATAGAAAGCAACCATGGATACCAGAGACAGCGTGGGAGGAGGGTGAGACACAGCAGAGGGGGAGAGATAGGGAATTAAAGATGGCAAAAATAACAAAATATACAGGAAACAAGAAATGGAAAATTATTTGTTGGCAATAACAGGTATGTTGATGTGCTTGTTTGAGCAAATATACAGTGTATTCTGGATGGGAAATCTCATTTTGTTTGCTGTAATAATGTATAGTGAATGAATGTAAATAAATAATTTAAATTAAAAAAAAACTTATGAAGAAAAAAAACAGTATATCCTACCACATTAATATATTTTTTAAATAAGGAAAATCAAAGAGTACTTCATACAGAGAAATATATATCTACAATTGAGATATTTTAATTATACATAGAAAATATTTTAGGATTTTTTTACCTGCTATGATGTTCCCAGAACGTGCCACAACCTTGAATCCATCAGCTACTTTGTCTACACTATCTCCATGTGTAAGCAAAACAATTTCTTCCTTCTGGAGGCCCCTAAATATACAAAAAATAAAGTGTAATAATACAGTTATCTTAATTTAAAAATGTGATTAATGGGTCTTTTGCCATATGTTTAGATTAAAAAAAAGAAAAAAGTATGTAATAGTGCAACACTGTTAAAATTTAAGTTTATTCTGTCTATTGCAAAGTCAATTAAATACTAAAGTTCAAAAAAGGTAATCCATAGTTGAAAAGCAATTGAAATAAATGAGATGGTAGTTTAACCACACACACACACAAACACACACACACACACAATTTTAAGAGACTATAGAATAACTTCAATCTTATATCTATTGTGAATTATCTTAACGACAGAGGCATATCAAGGCCCTTCAGACTTGATCACTCAGTAGTCATAAGTCAGCAGTAGTAATATCAGTACTGCTATGGTTATTCTGCAGCTTTATGTACAGGACAGATACATGTATTTATAGGCAAAAACAAAAAATAGGTCAATTAGCAATCGAGACTTTCAGCTTAAGAGTAAAGAGATACAAAAATCAAAGGAGTTAGGTAAAAACTCCATAACAGTGCAACTTTAAATTAATCTACTACTATTCTTATTCATCTAAAAATACAATACCTGAATAATGAGCATGTATTATCCACACTGATGTTGAAAACACCGTCTTCTCGGACGCTTTTCTTATGCACAGTACCTCCAAAAACCTTATTCATCATCTATTCAAAGAGAGAATAAGTTGATGTTAAGATAAGTAAAAAGAAAAATACCAAGTCATTTTGTTATGCTGATCTAATTATTTATAATCCTGTTTTCAGAATACTTGTTAGGTTTGTACCCAAAAAATAAAGGGTATTTGAATTTATATAGATGACTTGGGTGACTATATCAAGGGTATTGGTGGTATTATATATAATTATACAGTTAAAATCCATGGTTATAAAACAAACTTAAAGTGGAAATTGGACCTGAGGTTACTTTGTGTTAATCTCTCTCAGGATTATGGGCATGCATATACACACACCCAGCTCAAGTTTCAGGTCACAGTCTGGGACTTGAACCACTGTCAACCACATAGGAGTCCAGCACCTTAACCACTACGCCACTGGTTGGTCCCAAGAAAGATGAAGTTTTAACTTAAATTCTTAAGATGTTATGCAGGATGGAAATTGCTGGAGATACCACCAATCAAGGAAGCCCAGGAGAGATTATGCCCTCTCAAACCAATGACTGAGCTGATCAAGTAGCTAGGATCACCCTCCCCTTAATGTTCCCCTCGTAGATGTGTGGGTTGCTAAAAGATGCCCATGAAATAAGAGATTAATTTTATCTTAAATTTGAACATTAGGCATTATCTATGAAATGGCATGTTTTTTAAATGATGAAATGACACGTTTTGTAAAGGTAGAACTATGTGAGTAATTATTAAGATGTATTGTTGGTTTTCAGGAAGGCATGCTGAGAAATGCATTCTGTTTATGTTCCCAGACTTAGGTTGGCAGTTCCTCGTGGCTGCTGCTTTGCTTGGTATAAATTCAATGGGTCTCAGTCATGGAAGGGCATGCTTAGGTAGTGGATTATTTCAAACCCTTGAACACTCAGTCTAGTGAACATTGTTGTCATTATGTACAATAAAGAACTAGTCGAATTAACTATGTGATGTTAACTAATAATAAATTTTAACATTTTTCAATAAAAGAACATTTAAAAAGCTTTGCTTGGACTGGCTTGGGGAAGACTGGATTTTTCTCAGCATTAGCTACTTTCCCTTGCTTTGCGCATGGCAGTAAAGTACCTTTCTTCATCACACTCAGATCTACAGTTTGGTGTGTAATGTATAAACAGGTCTATTTGGTTTGAGTTCAGTAGAACTCTGTTAAAAAATAGAGATTTGGGGGGCCAGCAGATGGTGTAATGGTTACATCACTGGACTCCCACATAATCAACCATGGTTCAAGTCCCAGACCTGGCGGCTTAAAGCTCATGCCAGGCGTATGTGCCCAAAATCCCAAGAGGAGAGGGACTAAGTTGTGGCCATCTCCCCTGGGGGGGGATGCTTTCTCACTTTCTGTCTCTCTGGTAAGCACACATGCCCAATAGAAAAAATCTCTCTACAAAAAAATTTTTAAAATAAACATTTTGGGCAAGCAGATGGTATAGTGGTTACATTGCTGGACTCCCACATGGCTGACCATGGTTCAAGTCCCAGGTCCGGTGGCTTCAAACTCAAGCTGAGTGCATGTGTGCATATATGCATGTGTGCACGTGCGCATGTGCACCCAAGATCCCAGGAGAATGGAAGAGAAGGAACTGTAGCATGGCCATCTCCCGCAAGGTGTGATTTCTTACTTTCCCTCTTATTGTCTCTGTCTCTCTCTCTCTCTGGCAACCATACACCCTAAAGCAAAAACCTTTACTAGAAAAAAAAGGGGGGGAGGGGAGATTTCTTTAGTACTTAGATCTGACTTTAATTTAAAAGCATGTTAAAAGGCATACTGAGCTTAGGAATAGCTAGATTAAACAACAAGATGAGCTGTGGTACCAAGAGAGGCATTTAGACAGGTATAAATTCCTCCAAGTTATTTAATCTTTGGTCTCAAAGGAATAGTCTGAAAGCTTGCAAAAAGGCTGTGATGTACAGATATGATGAGCAAGAAAATCTGGCCTTTCAATTAAACTCAGATGTTCAAATCCCATATGCATTATAGGCTCTTATTTTAAGGAGTCTCTTCGTTCGGTCCTTTCATGTGTTAATCTTTTTTTTTTTTTTTCATTCATTCATTCCTTTATTTTTATGTTTTTACCATAGGGCAAGTATTCTCACTAGAGAAAGAAAAAGAGAGGGAAAGTGAGAAGTCACCCCTCAAGAGTGTCTCAATCCCTTCTCCTCCACTGTCCTCATGGGATTTTGGGCACTCATGCAAGCACACACACAACCCAGTATGACTTTCAAGCTTGACCTGCAGCCTGTCGTGTAGCAGTCCAGCACTTTAACCACTATGCCACCTACTGGCCCTTCCTTTCTTTTTTGTCATTTATATCAGAAAAGTCATGATGCATTTGTGCATAGAAAAACACGTCATAATTTTTCCAAAGACCCAATATATGCCTAAACCATGTCCCAAATTGATAAACATAGAAGATTTTTACAAACATTAAATCTGCACTGACATAATCACTCTAACTCATCCTCCAGTCTACATTCTAGAGATCTACCAATGTCAACTACTAATACATAAATATGACTGTGTTAGTCCCCGATAATTCTTCCATGGCTCTCTAGTAACTTTCAATCAAACAGGGGTTGGTAAGCTTTTTCCATAAAGGGTCAAAAGTAGTAAACAGTTTAGTATTTCCATGTCCTGCTGTGTCTATAGTAAGTATTCAGCTCTTCCCATTGTAGCCCAAAAGCATTTACAGGCAGTACTTAGATAGATGTGGCTGTGTTTCAATAAAACTTTATGAACACTGAAATGTGAACTTCATTCATTTTCACATCACAAAACATTCCTTTAAAAAAAGAAAATTCTCCAACCATTTAAAAATGTAAAAACAATTCTTTGCTCGTAAGTCATGCAAATATACACAATGGGCTAGATCTGACCTGCAGGCTGCAGTTTGCTGACCCCACTCTACCAGATGTAGGCATGTCCCTTAAATCAAACCCAACACCTCTCATTACATGGCCCTTGTGTAATTTGTGGCTTTACCTCTCATTCCACCCCTCCCCATTCTATCTACTCCAGCCATTCACACTAGTGTGATTATATGGGTCTTTTTTCTCCATCCCAGGGGCCTAGCACAGTAAATGGCCCAGAGTAGTCATTCAAAGTTGCTAAATAAAAAATAATAAATTATTTTTTCTTTGTCCTTAGTGAAATCTTGTGTATTTCTGTCCCCTGTAATTTGTACTTCATAATTAAAAGATAGCTGAAAAATAGCAAAACTACTGAACTGCACACAATTTAAGAACCTAAAAAGTCTAATGAAGACTCCCCCAAAACTTACCTGCTCAGAAGGCTTTTTTGCTTATTTTCAGTTCCTGACTACATTACTTAAGGTTGAAGGTGCAAGAACTTGAGTGAACAGCTAAATGTGTGTTTAGGAGAGAAAAATTTACTTTCTTGTTAAATTTATGTTTTAATATTCTATTTCAACTTAAGGAAATGGTTTTCAACAAAGATTTCTGATAATCTCAAGGTCCTAACTGCCTTAAAAAAAAAAAAAAAAAAAAAACCACCCAGTACTCCAGGTCTATCACTCACTCACTTCTGTTCCTTTTTTAATCTGTGTTATATGTCAAGACTTTACAATAAGATTTAGTTTGGGCATGGAGGAAGGAGAAAAAACTGATAAAAAAATAATTTGACAAAATCCTTGTGGGAATATATGGAGAAACCGACTAAAACCATAAAGAGTAAAGAAACAAGTCACATCTAGACAGTATCTGCACTATATAGAACTGGCAAAGCTTAGTAACCAGCATATATAAAAAACTTCCATAATACAATAAAAAAGACAACAAGAAAAATGGGAGAAAAACATTAAAAAGCTGTTACAGCAAACCAAATACAAATGGCATATAAACAGATGAATCTTACAATAAGGAGAGAGAACATTAAGACTATAATGTTACCTAATTTAACACCTTCCCAGGTATTTCGCAAATACAAAAGGAAAAAGAAACCTGGCCCAGGCGTCTGACACAGTCAGTACAGAATGGACTGTGTTGCTAGTAGCTGCTTGGCCAACCACAGGTTTGGATCCTCAGGTCATCCTGGGAACATGCTGGGCACACATGTAGGCGCCCCAGACCATGGGGAGCGAGGGGCTGAGGAAAGGAATCCTGTGTGATGAGACCCTGCAAAGTACACAGGCACACTCTACCATGATACTAAATCTGACCCTGTCAAGAGCTGGAAGATACAAAGAGCAGAAGGAATTTTTTATACACTACTGCAGGAATGAAAAGTGCGGGGGGG